TAACGATAACCTCTATAACGATAACCTCTATAACGATAACCTCTATAACGATAACCTCTATAACGATAACCTCTATAACGATAACCTCTATAACGATAACCTCTATAACGATAACCTCTATAACGATAACCTCTATAACGATAACCTCTATAACGATAACCTCTATAACGATAACCTCTATAACGATAACCTCTATAACGATAACCTCTATAACGATAACCTCTATAACGATAACCTCTATAACGATAACCTCTATAACGATAACCTCTATAACGATAACCTCTATAACGATAACCTCTATAACGATAACCTCTATAACAATATTACCCTTTAATATAACGATTTTTTTTCCTGCCAAACCAAATCACTCCATTGACTTGTGTATACAATGCCTTACCTCTATAACAATATTGCTATACGGTATTACCCCTATAACGATATAAAATGGGCTGACCAATCCACATTTTCCATTTTATAATAATATTTAGCAGGGAATATGTAGAGCCCACTATCCAGGTAGAGGAAGCTTCACTTGATAAGTCGCTGGGACATGACGAAATGCAATGGGGGTACCAGTGGGCACTTTGCGGTGTACATAATGTGCATGTACGTCAGTTTTTTTGTGCTACGGAGAGTGTAAAGAATGAACAAAATCCATGCATTATGACGTATGTATATGAAATGAACCAGTTACCCTTATAACAATATTAGCCATGCCTCGACGTACTAGTAATACAAGGACTGCCGTTCCCGAGAAGCTGCCTCTGCCTCCTCACAACCTCAGACCCTGGCCGATGCTCACGCCGCCGATCCGGCATTGCAAAGCGACTTTCCCAACGGTCCTTCAGCGGTGTCCGTTTCCCAAAGCACTGTTGCTCCACAGGTTGCAATGCACGGACACCTCTCACAACAATCGATGATCCCTGCCGAAAGCCACGATCGCCGAAGTGCTGACGGAAATCCTACCAACGTTGCTGGACTCTCAGTGCCGCGTGATGACCACACTGGCTGTATCCACACCGGTATTGCCTGTGATCAGCAACCCCATGGCAACCTCAAGCACATCGGAACCGGCCACAGCTGCCTGGCCGCTACAATTAACGGACCAGCAGCTCCCAACCACCACAATCCCGCAAGAGGACACGGGACAGAATCCTTTCCGATCAGTTTGTAGAACTGTCTGAGTTGTTGGCGGAGTCAATTGGCTTGGCTCCAAACCCCTCTAGCACAGGAGTACAAATGCAACTTATGGGCAGCACACCTGTACACCTAACTCAGGAGTTCTCTCCCAAAGCTTCCACACGGTGCCACGTGTGCGATCTTGCGACGTGGCAGGGGCTTGGACTGTAGTGCTCCACACCATCCTACAAGCAGCCCCAGCAAGAGCCTCCAAACTCATTGGGTACCAGGCCATCATCACCGAAGTCAACCGAAAAATAGTCCCGGGTGGATAGCTAGAATACACTCGGCAATTCCACCGCACACTGAAAGGACATACAAGGAGAAAGGGATTTGCTGACAGAGCACAGGAAACCGAAGGTACCTGTGAGAGCATGCACGGTATTCGTTGCTCTAACTTCTGTCTTACATTCCTTGTTGCACCCGCCGGCTACCATGGCTCATTGATGGTCTCCCGACATGTAATACATTCCCTTTGACTTTGTGTCACCGCCAGATCCTTTTACTTCTGGTGTCCGTTTCATGTTCATCTATTGCTCGCTTGCGCGCTGGCATGCAACTGGCGTGCTCTCATGCGTACAGTGCGTACAACGAAGAACTACGTCAGTTCCAGTTAGTTTTTTAGAGTTGGCCGTGGAACAAACTTGTGTTTTTTCGCTCTCCCACATTCTCTGCTTCTTCTCCAATAATTATATGAACACTGTTCGCCAAAGAACTCAGTGTGGACGTTGTTGCGAGTGCGTGTCCGGGAGTGAGTTGGGGCGGTCGTGATTATCTAACAGCTTGGTGCCGAAACCCGGTTTGGTGGAGTAGCAGTGTGCAATACGATGTCGACGTTGAAATTTGATAGTTTTGTTCGGCCGTTTCGTGGAAAAGGTGATAACCTTGCTGCGTTTTGGTCTAAGTTCCTGGTCCTTGGAGAACTGCACAAATGGGACTCGGAGGAAAAACAGATGGCGCATCTGCCATTGTTGCTGGATGGTCCTGCGTTCCTGGTGTTTGACCAGTTGTCCGCAGAGGATCGGAAGAAGACCGCGGCGGTGAAGGCTGCTTTGGAGGCGGCGTTCGCGCCCAGCCCGGCGGAGTCCTACCATCTATTCGTAGGGCGGCAGCTGGCCCTGGATGAGCCTGTCGACGCCTACGTGGCAGACCTGACGCGCCTGCTGACATTGTCAGGCCACAAGGTTGCTGCGGATGGGAAAGACCCGTTGCTCGTGGAGCAGTTGATCAGCGGTCTACCACAAGAGTATGGGAAAACCGTCCGGCTGGCCAACGCCATGAAGAGCCTTACCGTCGCGGAGCTGACTGGACAGGTGAGGACGATGCAGTCAGCGGCAGGGGTCGCTCAGGCGGTGGCTGCAGCCCGATCTGGTCCCCCGCCACAGAGTCAGTCGTTGATGTGCTATGGCTGTGGCCAAGTGGGTCACATGCGTCGTAGCTGCCCGAATCAGCAGCGTCGTGGCGGTGGACAGCGCGGTGGCGGTGGACAGCGAGGTGGCGGTGGTGGGCCCCCACAGTCGACTTGGCCAAGGACGACCACGGATGCTCCAGCCAAGAGGAGTGGACCCACGTGCTATCGCTGTCATCAGGTGGGCCACCTGAGGAAAGACTGTCCTCAGAGGTCAGATTCTGGACGTGTGGCCGCCACAGCAGCAGCCCCAGCAGCGTCGCACCCGCGGACGGATTTCTGCCTGGCTATGCCCCGGCCTTCGTCGCAGCTGATTCGAGTTGCAGTGGAGGTGCAGGTCGAAAACGCGCATTGGAGCCGCCAAGCGTCGGTTGTCGACACGGGTTGCATTATCTAACATACCACATATTTGAAGCTGGGCTTTTTTAGCCTACGGTACTAAACTTACTAAAGTCCGCTAGGCGCATCTTTTGGAAAATTTCCAAAGTGCTAACAGTGTTCACTTTCTGTATAATTTTCTCATAAGGGAAAAGCAGCTCCACAGAGAATATTGTATGGATGCACGTGGTCGATTCTATTTTTTAGCACACTACATCTTGTAAGATTAGTATTATTCTGGAAATTATCACGGTTAGCACCTCACACCATCCCCAAGGTCGTCTGTATAACCCTTTCCTGCAGTTTTGTGTTCAAGCCTCTTTGATATGTTTGCAGAAGTCTGCATTTCGCAAAGTTTGCTGAAGTTACTGTTGCTGTATGCCTGGTTTCTTATAACGGTCGGAATTTCTTTTTCCACAATCCTCTTCAGCTGGTCCTTAGCTCCCCGTACACGAAGTTTGGGTAAAAAATATTATTGAGAGACATCCATTTTACAGCAGTTTATGTGCCGGCGTGCATATATTATTACGTGAAGGTGGTCTGTCACCTTTTAAACTAATAAAGTTCATACACACGATAGGCTAACCATCAGACGACTGTGTGTGGGCCTGCAGTGGGCCGCTAAGTTAGCACTTATAGCCCATGACGACATGCGACAACAATGCAAGACAACATAATACTTCGAAGTAGAAGGAACGCGCACATCTAGAGTCTGGTGCTCACTAAGCAACGCCCAAGCTGCGCAAAGACACCCCCCCCCCCCCCCCCCTCAGCTTACATGCGGTCGAGCATCTTCAGGATCTGCTTGTTCTCCAAGCTCTCGATCCACAGCTTGCGCAGGCTGTCCCGCTTGCAGTGTAGCAACTCCTTGCACTCCTTCAGACTGTCCTTCAGCAGGTGAATTCGCTTCATGGATGCTGCATAGCAGAAACAGCAGCAGCAGCAGCAACAACAAACAGTGCACACACTGGTGACAGACGTATAGGATGCAACCTGTCAAACGATGAGCATACGCCAGTATGTCAAGCCAAACCGTCAGAAAACTCGGAAGCGGTAAAACACAAGCAAAACCTCTTTCTCCCTTCCATCCATGACTACAATCTACAGTAACGTATCACCCCCCCCCCCCCCCCCCCCCCACACACACACACACTGTGGCACACCTGATCAGAACTTTAGTTTGTTCCCAATCAGCAGTATTCAGCAGCTCACCTGTTACTTGGGCATCAATCTTGGTGAACGTATGCACAGATTCCTTGAGGCGATCATGGTTCTCTAAAACAGCACAAAATGCACATGGCACAGTACTATCCAGTCATGCCTACGCTTCAGTGCTACTAGTACGTTCCAGTCATGCCTACGCTTCAGTGCTACTAGTACGTCTAATACGGAGAAGACACCTGCAGGGAATTACAAGCTGGCATAGATGATGCACAGGCACAGCCGGTCGCGTATGCCCGCACAGCACTGTGATACGCACGCATGGCATGTGAAGCGAGAGAGCATGATCTCACTAGGGCCTTCACTTTACCGATTGTGGCTTGGTGTGCTTGGTGTGCTCATGATCCATACAGCAGAGTAAACTTCACATACACACACACATCTTTCTACGACCTACCGTCGACAATGTTGTTTCTACGACCTACCGTCGACAATGTTGTTTCTACGACCTACCGTCGACAATGTTGTCCAAACGCTCATCACACTCGGCAAAGTCGCGTTCGATTCTTTTCTTCTCCACTTCCCGCCGGCGAGGATTGCTGCAAGCAATGTATCAAGTCGCAAGTATCGTGAAAACAAGAAATAGCGCCAAGTCAGTTTTTGATCAGTACACGCATACATCAGTACGCGCATACACCAGTGCACGCATACATCAGTACACGCATACATCAGTACACGCATACATCAGTACACGCATACATCAGTACACGCATACTTCAGTACGTGTATACATCAGTACACGCATACATCAGTGCACGCATACATCAGTACACGCATACATCAGTACACGCATACATCAGTACACTCATACATCAGTACACGCATACATCAGTACACGCATACATCAGTACGTGTATACATCAGTACACGCATACATCAGTACACGCATACATCAGTATGTGTATACATCAGTACGTGTATACATCAGTACACGCATACTTCAGTACACGCATACTTCAGTACACGCATACTTCAGTACACGCATACATCAGTACGTGTATACATCAGTAGACGCATACATCAGTACACGCATACATCAGTACGTGCATACATCAGTACACGCATACATCAGTACGTGTATACATCAGTACACGCATACTTCAGTACACGCATACTTCAGTACGTGTATACATCAGTGCACGCATACATCAGTACACGCATACATCAGTACACGCATACATCAGTACGTGCATACATCAGTACACGCATACATCAGTACACGCATACATCAGTACACGCATACATCAGTACACGCATACATCAGTACACGCATACATCAGTACACGCATACATCAGTACACGCATACTTCAGTACGTGTATACATCAGTACACGCATACATCAGTACGTGTATACAAGTACATCAGTACGTGTATACATCAGTACACGCATACATCAGGACATGAATGGTCCAGTGCGGAGAGTACAACTGCCGTGGTGCGGAGAGTACAACTGTCGTGGTGCGGAGAGTACAACTGCCGTGGTGCGGAGAGTACAACTGCCGTGGTGCGGAGAGTACAACTGTCGTGGTGCGGAGAGTACAACTGTCGTGGTGCGGAGAGTACAACTGCCGTGGTGCGGAGAGTACAACTGCCGTGGTGCGGAGAGTACAACTGTCGTGGTGCGGAGAGTACAACTGTCGTGGTGCGGAGAGTACAACTGCCGTGGTGCGGAGAGTACAACTGCCGTGGTGCGGAGAGTACAACTGTCGTGGTGCGGAGAGTACAACTGTCGTGGTGCGGAGAGTACAACTGCCGTGGTGCGGAGAGTACACCTGCCGTGGTGCGGAGAGTACAACTTGGATACTGAAACGTGAACATCTCCATCCATCCTGATCTTCCACTACCAAAAGACCACATAATGTCAGTACAGTACTGTCGGGTGGCAAAAAACTGTTGGCCAGCCTCCTTTTGTAGGCCATTGTTATGTATAGGGTATTACCCAAGTACGAGGGTGTTACCTCCCGAATATCATCCCGACTGCGTAGCAGGAGGGATGATATGAGGGTACGGTAACACCCGAGTACGCGGGTCAATATCCTACTTATCCCAGGTACATCTACGCATTTTGGGGATCGACGCAACTGCGTTCTGAATACAATTACCAAGGTACAGCTATACCAAAAACAAGATGCTGCCTTTCTTTTCAATCCAGTCACGGTTTGAGAGCGATGGAGCTCGGGAGACAAGTTGCATTTTAGTAGTTGGACTAGAGAATTGACGAAGATTGCACTGTTATGATACATAGTCATTTGGTTCAAAGTAAGGCCCATACTTCAAGTCACGGCGAGATACAACGTCATTATGGATGCTGGTGCTGACTTCCTTGTCATTGGATCGGTGTGGAACTTTCAACGGTTTGGGATCCTTACTGAACACTGTCCGTGCAGGCAGTAACCACATTGTACATATCGTCGGACATTGGCACCAGTGAGTAAAGTGCATTTCGTTGTATCAAGACTCTTGGTTGTATCACTATCGGCCACTATGCAATCAGAAGAACGTTGATCATGTTATATTATTGGCATACTGGATTTGTAGCAGCATCTACGTTTTAGATTGTTCTTGTGGTAATCGTACTGGATACAATGTCATGATAATCACTGTGGCCGGTCGCATCTTGCATCCATATCTTATCTACATCACACATGGATTGCTGAGCTCTTCTTCTTTCACACTGTTGAATATTCTGTACAAGATTTTTCCTCTCACTTTCACGTCTTGTACTTCTCGAGTTGTTACGGTATCTCTCCTTGCAATTAGTTATTTTCACTCGGCTGGTGATACTTTGTGTAGTTTTCGAGTTTACAAAGAGTGAATGAGAACAGATGCACTTCGAAGTCTCCTTTGTGTCGTAGTGTTGAGTTGAACAGTGATTGGAGTTCGTTGTTTGTTTGTGTGGAATCTGGTTTTGGACGTAGTCGCGGAGGTAAGTTCTCTCCGTTCACTTTTACTGTACCGACGGTGCACTCTGCATTGGCATGCTCCCACCCTCTCACGGTTCTGTGTAGTGCATTTTGTCGCTGGGTTCTGATCGAAAGGACTCCAGTGGCAAGATGCATTGCATCGAATCGAGAGGGGGTGCCAATGCAGGGTGCACCGTAGTAGGTACGGTAAAAGTGAACCCAGTTAATAATGAATATCATCCCGCGTGGGATTGTATTGGCTATTATTTCCCGGTCAGCAAGGCTCCTGATTGGCTGAAACAGGCCTATAGTACCGTACCATGGGATAATGTCATGTACTATAATAGTCTATGCACAGTGGAGTCACCGTGTATACTTTGGTATGCTATACGTGGTGAAAATCATAGCCCGTTCGTTCTTCGGCACTCCGTTCTTCGGCACCCGACTGTACTGTACACACTTTCATAGCGCACATTTCTCCTACTTTACCCATCAATGGCTAGAACACTGTGGAGCTACCGACTACTTTATCTATTTCCAGCCCGGGGTATTGGACATACACAGTCACTGCGATATTGACCCTGCCACTATGCTAACGGGTCAAGGTGTACAGCGCAGTGTCCAACCGAGAGAAGAGAGAGAGAGAGAGAGAGAGAGAGAGAGAGAGAGAGAGAGAGAGAGAGAGAGAGAGAGAGAGAGAGAGAGAGAGAGAGAGAGAGAGAGAGAGAGAGAGAGAGATGGAGAGAGAGAGACAGACAGACACAGAGAGAGTGTGTGTGTGTGTGTGTGTGTGTGTGTGTGTGTGTGTGTGTGTGTGTGTGTGTGTGTGTGTGTGTGTGTGTGCGTGCGTGCATGTGTGTGTATGTGTGTGTGTGCTTACCGATCTGGCCTGCAGGTAGCCTTGTGCAGATTGCGCAATACCTCTCTATTCTCAACCAAAGCATGCACTAGCAAACCAATTCTTGTTTCACCCACGAACTCGTCATGGAGAAGATTTAAAAAAGACTATGAGTGATGGTCAGCCCATTTCTTCTTCTCTTTAGTCACATAGTGGTAACTCCTCCGGCTTCCGGTAATAAGAAGCTCGCTGGGAAATCATGTATTCCATTGAGCTAGCTATTACCACCTGTAGCTTTCATGGTTTATCCGTGTTTGCAATACAAGAGGACTTATACACGTTACTCAATGTGAGTGGACCTTGAACTTCTTTATTTATATAACACCCTTTTAAAACCTTTCATGGAGGTTCCACTCTCCCAACCGACGATTTGACTCCCGCCCCTGGACGATGACAACCACATTTGGACCTTGATCTGATCACGAATGTGCCACTGACTCACTGCACTGATAGTGCCCCCCCCCCCCCATGCACACACACACACACACGCACACGCACGCACACACGCACACACACGCACATGCACTTTATTATTTTAATCTTAATATTCAGCTCTATTGCTCTGCTGGCCATGGCAGCTTATAGTTTTTGTTGTAGAGCATAATGAGGTTACAACGATGTGTCACCAGGCGTTTGACATCAGTTTATTTGGCAAAGAAATAGAGAAGACTGGTGGTTGTTGCACGTGCATCGATGCACATGACTGCTGCACTCGTATGTGATCTCATAATGTGATCTACTATCACAGAATATGTAGAAATGTAATTGCAAACAATGTCGTGTATAATTTCTAGAACAAATTATTTTATCTGCATGCTGCTTTTGACCCGCTAACTTTTCACACTTGTAGCGTGATGTTTATCTCCCTCAATTCTTTCCCCATGTAATTGCAGTCTAAGTCATTTTTTACATTGAAGAAATGACGTGCATTTCCAAAATTATTAGATTGTAGCGTACAGCAGCAGCAGCAGGAGCGTTTCGACATGTACTTACTCTTCATAAGACAAACTCTCGATCACCGCATCTAGGAGCATACCGCCCTATTGAAGACGGATCGGGATGGTGTCACCAAAGCAAGGGAGCAAGTCCAACACGACAATGCACAAAGTAAGTAGTAGTGTGACACCAGGATGCTAGCGAGCGTTCACAACGCGTATGTTCACCACTACACCGGTGACTTACCTGGGCTGCACGGGAAGTCATGGTGGATGATCGTTGCGATACCCTCCACACCAGAGGCAGGCAGGCCTGCAGGGTTGCTCACGCTAATGATCACATACAGTTGTTGGAATGAATTGGTGAAAAGATGGTATTACATGACTGTACTACTTTCACAAACCTGACATTTTTACGTTGCATGTTCCAGTCACCAGTACTGGGATGGCGATGTGGCAGCGTGCTAGCATTATTATACTAGCATGCTAGCGCTCGCGCTCGCTACATGACTTCTTTGTACCGTCGTGAAAATTATTATTATTTTTTTGGACGCACTGATCATGTAGACCATGGCTTTTCCATGCATCGTGACATGTAGACGTCTACGGGGCCCGGGATACCATGCGCATGCATAATAATTATGCCATGGTACTACGTCTACATGACATAATCATACACGGTCTGGATCATGGACTGATGGAGGGCTTGATGGCTGAATCATGCCTGAGCTCCCAGTCCCAGCCTAGCTAGCCCAAGGGCCGTAGGCCCGAGGGCTGGGAGCGAGGGCATGATTCAGCCAGCAAGCCCGACAGACCGTGTATGATTGGATTTCTTACTTGACCCATGCGCACGCACGGAACGTAGCCTACTCAAACATTGAAACAAGCCACAGACTAGCACAGTTCGGCGAAAAGTCACTCTGCACTAGTCACAGCCAGAACACACGAAGTAACAAGAGTCAAGAAGACAAGCGACATTCCTTTCAACATGCACTTCCACTTCTTTCTTCAAAACCCGCGCCTTGTCACATTATTGGCTACATCTCGTTGCCACTTGACCACGGGCATGATTGTCAATCATACCTGAAGTGACGTCAGTGTTGCCAAGGGCAGCGGGCATGATGGCTGAATCATGCCCGCGGCGGGAAAGGTGGTGATTAGACAATTCCTAGGATACGGTCACGTGTCATGTAAGAAATTGTAATCATGATGATTGTGCATCCACCAGAGTCGTCGTTGATCAATACGACAATAGTAAAAACTAAAAATTTAATGTTGTTGACTCGACTCCCCGCATGCCTGATCTCGATCTACAGTGCCAGTTGTACAGATCCAGGAAATCCCGTAGACCCGGTCACAGTGGGTGTTGAATGTGCAGGACCCTATTGTGTTTTCTGCTATTTCCACAAGAAATGGGCCCTGAGCTGAAGGCATTTCATACAAAAACCTTTTTCTGACAAAGATCTAGCTAGTCATTAGTTCTAACCAAAGTGAAGAAGCTGGAAAAGCGATTGCTTGCCATGATGAAAAAGGAGGACAAAATGTTACGAGTTACTGTCCACCAGGGAGTCGTACTCAAACTAAGTGTGAGTACGACTCCCTGCTGTCCACCAACGTAACCAGATCTTATAATAATAATAATAAAATAATTTAATTGGCTCACCATCTGAGTCAAATTTAATTATGCTAAAATTGCTCAAATGGGCATGCATAGCACACAAACGGAACACCAAAAATCTGGCATAATTCTGGGATTTCGTGGATCTGTACAACTGGCATAAGGTCTATACTACACCCGGACCCACTGCTGCCTGCATGCATGCAGCCAGCTAGCAACAGCGCGGAGATAAAAAAAAAAAATGCACCAGTACATAACCCCCTGCCCTGGGGAAGGGGACCGGGGGTGAATACTCTCGACACAACTACATGTAACTAAAATACTTCACAACTATAGTTGTGGCCAAAGGAATCCAACCCACGTGCTGAAAGCGGCGCCAAGGCTCATGTGGCCGCTGCGGCCCTCAGATCATTTTTTGGAACGTGCATGATGTCATCAAAGTGGAAACGCGGCGCTACTTTTGACTCGCGGGTCGGATTTCTTTAGCCACGACTGTAGTACTAGTACAACTAACTTATGTGAACAGTTAAAAAAAACCGTGACCAAGCTTGCCCTGCACTCAATACCATCTCTTTCAGACTCAGGCTACATACATGTATACCAAGGGGCCAAATGGGGGTAGCGTTTCCTCCAGCCTTCCAGGGAGTCACCGTATTTTACGACTCCCTGGTTTCCTCTTTTTCATCAGCTGGAGTCACTCTGGGATGGTATGCTGTATTCAAGTTACTGGTTGCAGGGGCGTAGGAGGGGTTTTGGAAGTGGTACGACCAAAGGTAGGTGCGGCCAAAGGCCGTGTTGGAGGGGGGGGGGGGTCCGGGGACGTCTCCCTCCCCGGAAATTTTTGTAAAAAAGACACAAAATCCTGCGTTCTGGGAACTTCTGGCACCCTTCTGGCGCAGTGTACGTGTGCAGTCGAGTCGAGTACAGTAGATCTACTCAGCACGACTGCAGATGCATAACAGATCTACGAGTAGATCTACGAGTACGAGTCTAGAAAAAGGTCAAAGTCTGATGCGCATAATGCATATCGATGGATCCTGATTTTTTTATTACGGTTTTGCACATTCCGGACGGACCACACTTTTCGAAAAGTGGTACGGCCATGGTCGTACCAGTCGTAGCGGGTGCTACGCCCCTGGGTTGAAAGTCGACCCCCATATACCGTATTTGGCGCATCGAGTTCCCAGTTCAAGGGCAGTTAGACCCGACTGTAGGTCGACTACAGTACCCCCTTTTCTTAGTTCCGTTTTAGGTCACAAAAGGTAGGCGTTATAACCGATAAAAATACAGTACTCAATGATGACGACTCTGCGCTGACCACTCTACTGTATGGTATTCATTTGCTGCATACATAGATCACTTACCGGGTGATTCGCAGTAATCCGGCGGTGTGGCAAGTGTCTTGTCTTGCACAGTTTGCAATGCAATTTGAATCCGCATCATGAGAATGACTGAGATATAGTCACCCTTGCTGAATACCAGCACGAGTGTGCATGTGTGTTTGTGCGTGCGCGAGTGTGTGTGTGTGTGTGTGTGTGTGTGTGTGGATGCATGTGTGAATGTGTGTGTGTGTGTGTGTGTGTGTGTGTGTGTGTGTGTGTGTGTGTGTGTGTGTGTATGTGTGTGCCAGCTAGTTCGGTTGGTGGGTACACTTATGCCTGATTGTGTTGGATCTGTTGCCAACGGGCTCGGCTACTTGAAGGTGTAATGTTGTACCTGCCACCTTTGTTGGTTCCAGGGTTCATATACTTTCTGTTTGAAGTATACATACCTGTTAACCATGGACTGCTTCTGGCTAGATTAACTCTTGTGTAATCAACGGTGCTAGTGAAGCTTATATCAGATCCACTCTGATTTAGCCACCCACACTAGTTGCAAGTATTACCTTCACTGGGGGCAGGGGTAACTGCAGTTGGATCCCGGGACGGATACCCTGATGCCGTCAATCCTTTTTCTGCACCTTGTCCTCACCCACTTGCTGAGGTGTGGTGAGCCCATAAGTGGGATCATTTTCAAGTCCACCCAGAGTTTTGGGGATTTCAGGGGGTGTCGGTCGTTGGGCGGTTCAATAGCCAATTGAGTCATTTTTCCAAGATTCCTCTTGAGTCTCTCTCCCCTCTCCCAGGGAGACCCACGTGACCAGTTTTGGCAGTGAGCAACAAGTACAAGTACAAGTAAGTGTGTGTGTGTGTGTGTGTGTGTGTGTGAAAAAGAAGGAAAAAATAGGGATTCACTGGCCAGAAAAAGTCACTTCAATCAGCTGTGTGGTGGATACCAGGCTAAATTAGGCTGTGTTTACATGAAGTGTTTCAACCCGGGTCAGATTTCAACCCGCCATGTACACAAAATGAATGGCGCGTTTACATGACGCATTGCGCTTGACCTGGGTTGAAATTTCGCCCCGGGTTGATTTCAACCCTCCCCCCAAGGGGAGGGTTGAAATCAACCCGGGTCAAGAAAATCGTACAAACGTACTCCTGTGCGTATCTCACGCCAGGTTTGAACGGCACTGCACATGCAAATTTCGCGCGAACGGATTCACGTGACCATACAGGACTCTAGAAGTGGACTTTTGGCGGCATATCTTTATTTGACCCGGGTCAACTGTCTTCATGTAAACGCTCACCTCTTTTGTCTATCGTACAGACTTTCAACCTGGGCTGAACTCGACCCGGGTTGAAATTTCTCATGTAAACACAGCCTTAGTGGCGGTCAATTCATCAGCCTTGCAAGCTGTTGAATGGTGCAATCCCAGCACAAGTTGCTATGTCTAACATAGCTGTTCGCTATCATCGCTTCCGCGATGGGCATGTCTGAGTCTGAGTGTGTGTGTGTGTGTGTGTGTGTGTGTGTGTGTGTGTGTGTGTGTGTGTGCGTGTGTGTGGATGCATGTGTGACCATCTCACCTTTATTTTTTTATAGTTTTAGGTGTCGCCGAAGAAGTCCACAGTTCCACGGGCTGCAGAATTCTCTGCAGAATTCAGAAAATCTTGCAACATGTTGCAGAAAGAGATGTAAAAAGCTTTTTCTGAGAATTTTTGAATTTATATCTGAGAATGCTGATATTTTTTATGTAATCGTCAATCATGACATTGTAGCCTTGTTTGAGCATTTTTAAAATATTATAATATTGGTTTGTTCTCCTGTAATCACCATTCGATGTAGCCTTTTTTAGGTTCACTGATGACCATTGACGAAAAACGTTTATGAATCAATTTTTATTCAACCATAAACCATACCCTTTTCAATGTTTTCCACATGTGAAGAAGTGACCGTAAGAAGGCTATTTCCCCGAGATCTACGGAGATATTTTCAATTTCCAATTGTCCATCTCCTTGGTGCCAGTACCACATACTGGTATATAATAATAGTAACCTCGAAAATGCAACGTTTGCAAAAGGTGTCGACGCTGGGCCCAACCACTACTTGGGCGCCACCGCTATAGGCAACAGTAACACAGGTACCACAACTCGCTAATCTACACGTGCATTCAGTGGCATTCGTGTCACTTCCAGGGCGTCAAGTGCCCTGCAAATCCAGGGCACCAAATGCACTTTGAATCGGATTTCACCAACTTGTAGCACACATGTACACGCAAGACCGGTCGACCGAGGTGAGCTCATCCCGGAATGAAAAAAAGTCCATAAAGAGTCACAGGCCCAACACCCTGAGCAGAAGACAAGAGATGCAGGTGAGTAGTACCCTAAATAAACAATTCTGGGATGGTTTGTTGAATGTACTGTGAAGTAGGTTAGTAAGAACAGAAAAAATATGTGATGAGTCATTAAATCAGCAGAGAAATCCTTGTGGAACGGGAGCAAAACAAAAACACGATCAGATCATCAGAAAACTGCAACAGACGATACTTGAAGCAAGACAAGAGAGAGATGAGCAACTGGAATGTAGCATGGTGCCAGGATAGTCCATCTTTTTTCAATTACAGATTTCGTGGGACACGTCATGGTTGGGTTTCTCGTAATTTCCTTTCACCCTCTCAAAGAGATGAACCATTGTCTTAGTCATGAGCCATTCGCAATTATCTGCACTTGATGGCCTGCACGAAAAAGGATGGTAAAGGTGTGCGGAAATGACCGGGACCAAAGCCATCCAGTCATTGGCAAAATTGGGTAGAGTAAAACTTTGATGCGTGCCAAAAAAATATGGACAGTGCCAGTATTGTGTCAGAAAGGATGTAGATGAGTTGAGGAAATGCCGGAGAGAGAGAGAGAGAGACAGAGAGAGAGAGAGAGACAGACAGACAGACAGAGAGAGAGAGAGAGAGAGAGAGAGAGAGAGAGAGAGAGAGAGAGAGAGAGAGAGAGAGAGAGAGAGAGGAGAGAGAGAGAGAGGAGAGAGAGAGAGAGGAGAGAGAGAGAGAGGAGAGAGAGAGAGAGGAGAGAGAGAGGAGAGAGAGAGAGAGAGAGAGAGAGAGAGAGAGAGAGAGAGAGAGAGAGAGAGAGAGAGAGAGAGAGAGAGAGAGAGAGAGAACAGCGACACCTCCAGCTACAACCAGCCTCGAGACACTGAAGGTTTGTTTAGAATTACCGGGGGAGAGTCCCCAAGTTGCCCGCAACTTGAGTGATAACAAAAACTAACAAATATAACCTGATAACAATGGCCGTAAATCAACAAGGATGAAATCAAGTTGGATGATGTTTCATGGCGAATACTGCGGAAAGAAGATTATGAAGGTGTATTGCCCAAATTGGAACATATGAAGAGAAGAGTGGGCCTGAGCAAACTGAATAAATTAACCTGCTACTACTATACCTCTTCAATCAAGTGCTGCCGAGAAGTCGTAACAGCATGAACGCCACGTCCAATGCCGCGCTGTCTCGGCTTGCGGTGGTACAGGCGCTGCTTTTTGACAGAGAGCAGAACCGAGCCGACAGCCAGGCGTGATTGATTACCGCACTCCGCTACACTGCCCGGCAGGCGCACAGCAAACGAACACAGGGCAATTTTGTCACCATGTGCCAGCGGCTGCACGGTCAGAGGGGAAATCTGCAATGAAACAGAAAAGCAAAGAAAAAATTAAAGAGAACGCATTGCTGCAGTGGATACGGCAGTGATCAGCTGAGAAGACAATGTCTTCACATTTAGCACAATGTTACCACCGGCAAATACCAATAATGGAACCCCATCAACTCCCTACAACTGGACCTCACTTTGCCCGTTCCATCCCCAGGGCTTCCAAAGACATGCTCATAATAGTAAAAAAATACTCCATCGCATCGGGGACAAGTCTACAACAGGCTCAGTGTAGCAAAATGATGATCATGTATTCATACTTACTTCACGGGCACTTGTCGATTGCGTCGACGCAAGTCTGATAGTGGCAAACGGACGCTGCGCCATGGATATGAGCTCTTGCTGTCGATGCTGAGCAGCAAAGCACATAGACACGGGGGAGAACACTGTGCTAACCCACCCATGACTAGGAAAGCCTCAAGACTCTCCATTACACACATGTGTGCATAGCCATGTGTACTCGGTGCTAGGAGCAGCGTGTGTGTGGCTGGGCGGTATACATAGTTACAGTCAACTTCGCTAAGAACGACTGCGGATATAACGACAATTCACGAATAACGACGGAATTCCCATGCCCAGAGCAAAGTCCCATCTACCTGTATACATATAATGAGACTTTGGGTACAAGGACAGTTCGCGAATAAGGACACTACTTTTCTGTTGCCCCGCCGAGTGTCGTTATACGCAAAGTTGACTGTACTTGATATCCATATCATTGCAGGTTTGAATCCTGCTTGTTCTCCTTTGTCTTATTTCTGTCAATTTCCACTTTTTGAAGCTGAGAGAAAATTCTAAGTCCCTCAAAAGTCGAAAGATTACAATGCCCAAGCGGACAATACAAACAGCCAATAAGCGGTCAACAAAAGAGCACACAGAAGAAGTCCAAGCAGCCCCAATCAGATTGATTGGGATAGGATGACACGTGGCCAGCACAAGTTAGAAAGTAGTAGCGTACCCGCTGAGCTCTCCACATGGATATGTATTGGCGTGTGTACCAGATCAACATAGCGATCAGCAGTAGAGTAAGAAAACACCTGCAGATCAGCACAGACAGATACCCAGTGACACCCACACCCACATGCACACGCTCGCCCGCACACACACACACACACGCTCGCGCGCACACACACACACACACACACACACACACACACACACACACACACACACACACACACACACACACACACACACACACACACACACACACACACACACACAATGAATGGTTAAAAAAGAAACAAATATTTAAAAAAACAATTTACAGCAGTAGGGTGAGTGGCTAGCAACATGACTGTACACTACCGTAGCCCATGTACCCTATTCATGAGCAATGCAAGCAGTTGTCATGGACACACACTACCGTAGCCCATGTACCCTATTCATGAGCAATGCAAGCAGTTGTCATGGACACACACTACCGTAGCCCATGTACCCTATTCATGAGCAATGCAAGCAGTTGTCATGGACACACACTACCGTAGCCCATGTACCCTATTCATGAGCAATGCAAGCAGTTGTCATGGACACACACTACCGTAGCCCATGTACCCTATTCATGAGCAATGCAAGCAGTTGTCATGGACACACACTACCGTAGCCCATGTACCCTATTCATGAGCAATGCAAGCAGTTGTCATGGACACACACTACCGTAGCCCATGTACCCTATTCATGAGCAATGCAAGCAGTTGTCATGGACAGTTCTAGAAAACCAGAAAGAAAGAAAGCGAAGATGGCAAACAAAATCCGCCACCACGTACAACTGGACTGTTGCTTGCTTACCCAAAGAAAGTGGCAAAGACAATCAGTAGGTCAATAGCATCTTCGAAGAGGAAAAGCACCTACGGAGGATAACAAGTTGGACAAAAAAAGAAAGCAGTTCAACATAAATAGATACTTGACAGCCAGGGTCCAGTCAGCTCACC